GGTACAGTGCGGTGCTGTGTGGTACTGTGTAACACAGTGTGATGTTGGGCGGTAGTGTGTGGTACTGTGCGGTGCCGCATGGGTCTCGCGCTCATGTGGCAGCATAGCCTGGGGCACAGTGTGGTGCGCACGGACTTCCCCAAGGGGAAGAAGGAGCTCTCACTCTCGCTCTTCCAGGTACTGGGCAGTGCTATGCGATCCTCTGTGGTAAGGTGTGGTACTGTGTGGTACTGTTTGGTACTGTGCAGTACTGCATGGTCTCTCTCCTCTTGTGCTCGTGTGGCAGCCCAGCCTGGGGGGGCCCGGACCCGAGGGCTTTTCAACAGTGCCGGCTGCCTGCCTGTCCGTTGTGCATACTCTTCATTCTTTATCTCGACCTCTCCTGGTTGCTCCCTGCCCCGAGACGTGGTGCTGATGCTGTTCAACGATTCCGACCGCCTGTTCCCCACAGAGGTCCGCGAAGCCATGGGCATCACTCTTTGTCCCTCCTCCCCTAACCTGATTTCCCCCCACACCCCCCTGCCCAGAGACTGTGCTGCTGTTGCTGTTCAACGATTCCGACCGCCTGTCCTTCACTCTTTGTCGTTCCTCCTCCCCCAACCTGACTGCGCTGCACATCCCCTTCCCCCAGACTGTGGTGCTGATGCTCTTCAACGATGCGGGCCGCCGGTCCTTCACGGAGAGCTGCACACGACCCCTCTCTCTCGTTTCCTATTCACCTGACCTGCTTTCATCACACACCCTTTTCCCCCAGACCGTGGTGCTGATGCTGTTCAACGATGCTGACCGCCTGTCCTTTGCGGAGATCCGAGATGCCACGGGGATTACCGATGCGGAGCTCAAGCGCACGCTGCAGTCGCTAGCATGCGGGAAGACCAGGGTGCTGCAGAAGGTACGGTGCAGTGCGGTCTGCTGTGGTTCAGTGCGGTACAGTGTGGTGCAGTGTGGTTGCAGGATGTATATACTGCAATGGGTGCCACGGGCATCACCGACGCAGAGCTCAAACGCACACTGCAGTCGCTGGTGGCGGCAAGACCAGGGTGCTGCAGAAGGTGCGGTGCAGTGCGGTTTGGTACGATGTGGTGCAACTGCCCCCAATACTTGAGTGAACTTCCCGTCACTCCCCTTTTCCGTCCTTTCACATGTGCGGCACATGCTCTGTTGCAGCCAATTCTCAACCTTCAAACCCAGCATGTGCTTCCGTCCTTTCCTTTTGCATCTATTTTGTGCCTGCAGATTCCCAAGGGCCGTGACGTGTCAGACACCGATTCGTCTGATTATACAGGTCGTTCGAGTGTGTGTTTGTTTCCTTTCTTTTGCTTCTCTTCTACCCGCACGCCTGCAGATCCCCAAGGGCCGTGACGTGTCAGACACTGATTCGTTTGAGTTCAACACAGATTTCACGGCATCGCTGTTCCGACTCAAGGTGCGAACGATGGGATTGAGAAGCAGAAGGAAGGTGAGGAGGGATGGATACCACTTAGCTGACGTGACAGTAATTGTCTTCTCCTCCCAGGGTTGATGGAAGGAAGAGGGGCGGACAAGAAGGGTGGGAAAGAGGAGGACGGGGAAGAGAGCTGATTGATTGGGCACTGCTTGTTTGTCGAATTTTTCTCTCTTTTCATAGATACAGCCTACAGGTCTATGAGGCGTCCTGAAAGATGTTATGTTGTGTTAGTTGTGGTTTATTAAAATGTCAGTGCACTTATGGGTTTGCTGCATTCATGCATGTCATATGCATAACATGCGTGACTGTAGGTGAACGCGATTCAATTGAAGGAGACGCCAGAGGAGAACACCAACACCACGGAGAGAGTTTTCCAGGACAGGCAATACCAGGTACTCGTTATAGGCAATACCAGGTACTCGTTATAGGCAATACCAGGTACTCGTTATAGGCAATACCAGGTACTCGTTATAAGTAGCAGCTGGTAGTCATTATAGGCAAAACCATTTTTTTTTTAAGGACACGACCAAGTATTCCTTATAGGCAGTGCATTCCTAGGATTTTTGCTGCATGATACAGGCATGTTTGTTGGTTCATGTGCAATGGACTCATGGTCGTTCCATTCCACCCTCCCTGAAACGTTTGGCAGATTGATGCAGCCATTGTGAGAATCATGAAGACTCGGAAAGTGCTCAGCCACACGCTGCTCATCACTGAGCTCTTCCAGCAGGTGTGTGTTCTCACGGGGGGGAGGGGGGGCAATGCACTCTGGTGTGCCAGAGGTTGTTAGTTGGTCGACTCAAAGGGTGTGAAGACTCGCAAGGTGCTCAGCCACACGCTCCTCATCACCGAGCTCTTCCAACAGGTGGGGGTTCTCACAGGGGGGAGGGGGTGCAAGGCACTCTGGTGTGCCTGAGGTTGTTAATTTGTTGACTTAGAGGGTGGGAACACGTGCAATGTGCTCAGCCACACGTTGCTCATCATGGATCTCTCTTCCAACAGGTGGGTAGTCTCACAGTTGCACGCGATTATCCAGCAATTACACATTCTTACAGGGATAATGAGACGTCTCAAAACACACGATTGTCCAGCAGTCACACATTCTTACAGGGATTATCCAGTCACACGTTTGCCATGCTTTGGCTTCTGTCAATATCTCCCCCTCTTCCTCTGATGCACTCACGTGTCCTCTGCCTTCCTCTCCTTATTTGAAGTGCTCTGTCCTCCCTGCCTCACTCATTGTGCCACGTGACGTGTTTTCTGCACCCACTCCTGCTGTATCTCCCGCATTTTTCTCTCTTGCTTTAACCCACCTACTTGCACGTTTGCTTTTGCTCCCATGTTGCACATGTCTACTCCTGTTCATGCCTACGTTCACATGTCTCTGTCTCTGTCTCTGTCTGTGTGCCTCTCTCTGCCTGCTCCAGCTCCCCATCAAGCCTGCTGTTCTGAGATCGTCTGTAAGCTTGTACTTTTTTTTTTTTGTCTGTGCCTGTGTGTGTGTGTGTGTGTGTGTGTGCCTCTCTCTCGCCCTCCACAGCTCAAGTTCCCGATCAAGCCGGCGGATCTGAAGAAGCGAATAGAGAGCCTCATCGACCGCGAGTACTTGGAGCGAGACAAGAGCAACGCTCAGATCTACAACTACCTCGCCTGATTCATTCCCCACTGCACTCCAGCTATGCATACTCGCATATACAGCTACACCTGGCGTGGTCTGGAGTGGGACCGTGGGACAAGAGCAACGCTCAGATCTACAACTACCTCGCTTGATTTCCCAAGGCACACACACACAGATCTTAGTGCGCAGTCAGCTGTCTGAGTGCACTCCGGCAATACACACATACACACACACACACACACACACACACACACACACACACACACACACACACACACACACACACACACACACACACACACATACAGCTCCTGCAATGCACACGCACGCGTATACAGCTACCTGGCATAGTTTTTGAACGGGGCCAAGCAACAGAGTCCACAGGGCAGGATGATGGCACTCACAGGCCTAGACTGGAATATGCCGTTCTCATGTGCTACTATTGTACTGCGTGTGATTTCTGTTCATTCTTTTTTGTGATGCTTGTCTGCAGCACTGCCAGTGCATGCTGCATGCTGCCTGGACTTACCGTACTGCAATTGCCAGTGTGTTCAGTAGACAGGCTGGCAACCAAGCAGGGGGGCAGGCATGCAAATAGACGGGGGCCAAGACAGGCTGGTGGGTGAAAATGTAGAGGTGCAATCAACTTCAGACTGCAAGTAGGTGAGGGACAAGACCGCTTCTTCCTTAGAACAAGACCAACAAGTAGTTGATGGAAGGGAGGTCTCATCCCTACAAGCCCAACATCTATAGATCTACTGTGCGCGAGTGTGATGTGCCCGTAGGAGTTAGGAAGGAATGCAGCTTGGAGGTTCTCTGCTTCGCTGGCAGGGGCACTATGGCACTGGAACAAACCAGCTTCAGTCATACCCATTACAAGAATATGATGTGATACAGTAAGATCACAGGATATGATGTATATGACTACATGATTCCTTCCAGGTTCCAATGCACATCCGGAAGGAAGACCTGCTGCAGTTTACCGATGCCACTACTCGTGTATTTGGGATTTCTTATTCAGCAGAGCGCCTTTTTCCTCCCCTGTCACCGCACTCCACACCACACCACACATTTGAAAGCCCACCATTACCACCGCCAATACCCCCTCAACTGCACAAGATGACTCAACACATCCTTCCCCTCCGCAGTCACTGCGCTCGTCATCACCCACAGCAGTAGCTCAGCATAGCACTCCAGCCAGCTCCTTGAATTGTAACAGCCACACCACAGGACTCCACGCAGCACCACACCACACCATAACAGACCACACCAAACCCCACCACTAACGTTGCCAGAACTCCCTGAGCTGTGCAATATGGGCTAACAAAACGTCCTTGCCCTCTCCCGTCACAGCGCTCGTCATCACCCACGGTGGCAGCTCAGTGTAACTGCATACCCTGACAGCCCAACATCCAAGATTCCACACCACTACCGCCGCCAGAACTCCCTCAACTGTGCAATATGGGCTAACAATGCGTCCTTGCCCTCTCCAGTCACCGTGCTCGTCATCGCCCACGGTGGCAGCTCAGCGTAGCACTCTGCCAGCTTTGTATTGCAACAGCCCAACCACACAGCACCACATAGCACCACACTACTACCGCCGCCAGAACTCCCTCAACTGTGCAATATGGGCTAACAAAGCGTCCTTGCCCTCTCCCGTCACAGCGCTCGTCATCACCCACGGTGGCAGCTCAGCGTAGCACTCCGCCAGCTCAGCGCGGAACAGCGCCGCGTTGACGGCTGGCGGGCGGCCGTTCCGCCTGGCCTTCTTTTGCCTGTCGCACTTGGTGAACACGACAGTGAGGGGGATCTGAGGAGGGGGGAAGAGGGGTTTGGGTTTGGGGGGGGAAGCACAGAAAACGATAAACACCTTTCCGCCGGGCCTTCTTCTGCTGATCACACTTGGTGAACACGACAGTGAGGGGGCACTGCTGATCACACTTGGTGAACACGACAGTGAGGGGGATCTGGAGGGGAAATGGGGAAGGAGGAGGGGGTTAAAGGACGGGGCATGGAGTGGGGAATGGTGATTCCCAAGTGAGGGAGCAACAACTGTGAGGGGGGTCTGGAAGGAAGGAGATGGGGGGGTGAGGGACATAGGGGACACATGGGGGACAAAAAGGGCACACATGAGGGCAAGCACTTGCCTACTGGCCGTCTCCCAGTGTGCCCGTGTGCCCGTGTGCCCGTGTGCCCTTGTGCCCTTGTGCCCGTGTGCCCCTGTGCCCCTGTGACCTTCCGCATGGCATTTTTGCCATGCGATCGCACTTGGTGAAGAGCACAGTGAGGTGGAATTTCCCAGAAGCAACCTAAACACCCAAACCAGCACAGTCATTCCCAAGACAACCCAAGTTAACGCTACTCACCTTGTTCCTCCCCAGCCAGTCAGCGCACTCCACATCAATGGCTTGAGGGGGAATGGTGGCATCCACCAGCAGCAGCACGGTGAGCAGGTTGGTGCGCGAGGTGAAGTAGGCCTTTGTAAAAGCGTTCCATTCCGTTCGAATGGCGTTTGGGGCCACTGCATAGCTGGTGTAGGGAGGAAAGAGGTGGGGAAGGGGGGGGGGGTAACAACAGCAGCAGCAGCAGCAGCAGCAGCAGCAGCAGCAGCAGCAGCAGCAGCAGCAGCAGCAGCAGCACGGTGAGCAGGTTGGTGCGTGAGGTGAAATATGCCTTGGTAAAAGCGTTCCACTCTGTCCCTATGGCATTGGGTGCCATGGCGTACCTGGGGAGGAAAGTGGGGAAGGGGGGGGGGTTAACAGCAGCAGCACGGTGAGCAGGTTGGTGCTCGATATGAAGTAGGCCTTGGTAGACGCATTCCACTCCGTCCTTATGGCATTGGGTGCCACGGCGTACCTGGGGAGGAAAGTGGGGAAGGGGGGGGGGTTAACAGCAGCAGCACGGTGAGCAGGTTGGTGCTCGATATGAAGTAGGCCTTGGTAGACGCATTCCACTCCGTCCTTATGGCATTGGGTGCCACGGCGTACCTGGGGAGGAAAGTGGGGAAGGGGGGGGGGTTAACAGCAGCAGCACGGTGAGCAGGTTGGTGCTCGATATGAAGTAGGCCTTGGTAGACGCATTCCACTCCGTCCTTATGGCATTGGGTGCCACGGCGTACCTGGGGAGGAAAGTGGGGAAGGGGGGGGGGTTAACAGCAGCAGCACGGTGAGCAGGTTGGTGCTCGATATGAAGTAGGCCTTGGTAGACGCATTCCACTCCGTCCTTATGGCATTGGGTGCCACGGCGTACCTGGGGAGGAAAGTGGGGAAGGGGGGGGGGGTTAACAGCAGCAGCACGGTGAGCAGGTTGGTGCTCGATGTGAAGTAGGCCTTGGTAGACGCATTCCACTCCGTCCTTATGGCATTGGGTGCCACGGCGTACCTGCACGAGTGGGGGGGAAAGGGGGCGCAGCAGCAGCAGCAGCAGCATGAGGAAGGAGACGTGAAATAGGCCAGAATGCATTCACTCTATTCTCACCCATAGCCCGACTTTTGAGGCAACTCAGCCCCCAAACCCCCTCAAAAGAAAAAAAAAGAAAAAAAAACACACACACAAACATAATCCTAAAAGGCCTCCGTATATGACAAGAGTAGTGAGATCATGTCAAGCATGGGGATTAAAACCCCCCCGCACTCTAAAAGGATAGTCTCAAGGCATCAACACTCACTCACCCATAGCCCGGCAAATCCACGAGGTACCAGGAGTCGTTGATAAGGAAGTGGTTTATCAGCTGCGTCTTGCCTGCAGGGCAGGTGGAAAGAGGGGATGGGGGGGGGGAAGGGGGGAAATGGGAGATGGGGTAAATGGGAGAGAGGGGAGCGGGGTGAATGGGAAATGGGGGTAAATGGGAGAGGGGGAAGCGAGGGTTAACGGAGGAAAGGGAGAGGAGCGGATGGGGAGATAAGGCAAGTGGTACCACAGGAGAATTAGATCAAACCTAAGGAGACTTTGATCAATGGTCAGCATGTTGATGAGGGTCGATTACGATGCTAGCAAGGCGAGGGGGGATATTGAGCAAACCTAAAAAAACTTCCAGCCCTAAACCCTCAACCCTGATCCAGATTCACCTGCTTTTTTCTTTTTTCACGTTTGAGCTGGGCCTATATGGTTGGTCCACATGCTGTTGAGAGAAGATAGCCATAATAGTAAGGGAGGATTCACGAGTAAAACCTAAAACCCTCGAAACCTGCAACCTGAAACCCAAAACCGTGAACTCACCTGGTTTCTTGGAGGTCTGTGCTAGCCCCTTGTGATTTGTCAACATGTTGATGAGGGATGATTTCCCCACGTTGGATCGGCCAATCACAGCAAACTCCGGGATCTTCGTATCCTTAGGGCACTGCGCCACACTGCTGCTGCTCTTCACAAATACTGCCGATTTCACCCGCGGGGCTTGCCGCCCGGGCGGCAGCACCAGACTGCCCGTGGAGAGCTCCTGTTCTGACTCAGCAAGGGCTCGTTCCACGTCAGCATCGCCTCCGTCCCATTCTCCCTCGTCCTCTTCCTCCCACTCGTCCTCCTCCTCAAAATCCCCCTCGTTATACTCACGCTTCTGCTCCCCCAATGGAACATATCGTTCCTCAGGCCCCTCAACCCTAATTTCCGAACCTCCGGCGGTTCGTCTCTCCCGAACCTGCAAGGAATCAGGCTCCGGACCGTCTTCTTGCTTCGAAGCTGGTCTGGCAGGAGGCTTGGAACTAAGCTTGGCAGCAGGTTTGGGTTTTGCGCCACCCTTGGGATTACCATGAGGCCTGCTCTTAGTACTTTTTGTAGTCTTGATGCTCTTAGTGCTCTTAATAGCCTTACTCTGACTGCTGCTGCTGCCCGCACTTTTGGGCCGATTTCCCGTCTTTCCCCCCTCGCGACTACTTACACTGCTGCCGCTGCTACTCCCAAAACCACGGCCGCTGCTGCTGCTGCTGCTGCTGCTTCGGATGTTTATTCTGGATTTACCCGGATTAAGCGAAGGTGTTGCTGGGGAGGCTGTTAACACTGGCACGCCCGAAAATGGGGAAGATTTAACGGCCAGAAAGCTATGGAGTGGAGAAAGAGCGTTCGGTTTTGAGGAAATCCCGAGGCTAAGACGACAGCTGATGTGAGTCGCGGAACTGGCGAGAACTGACGTGGCAACGGCTGACGTGGAACGACCTAGAGAGTGCGGCGACATTGCTGCACAGGCGGTGTGCGAGTGTTGAAATTGGTTCAAGGGGATTCGCTGAGCCATGGCGTTACTGTAATGGGAGACAGTTTGGTGGGATGGGTGAGATGGGTGGGACGCTACGACTGCGGGTGTGGCCGCTACGGCCGCTGATGTGGGAGCTACAGCCGCGATCCAACGGGGTGGAACGGTTTGATTTGCCAGTCCAAGGCAGCACGGTGCTCCGGAAACGGTGGGAACGTTGCGCGGGAGTGGCTGCTGCGCGGAATCAAGCGCGCGCAAAGCGCCAGTCACAATGAGATTCCGCGAATCGCGCAGAAAGGAGGTTGCGGGAACAGCGGCGAGGGATCGTGCGACGCGAGGGAGTAACATTCAGACGAGCTGGCGGGGAGCGTTCGCCGCAGGAGATAGCGTCGCGTATCGAGCCGGGATATGGTGGCGCAAGAGGTGGCGCTTCGCAGGACTTCACCTACGATTGCGCAAGGCAGTTATCCGTTCCTGGTAACTCCTGAAATTTCCTGTAACTGTGTGGCTTGATCTGCTATGGTGGCTAGTCTGCCTGCCAGTGGCCATTGCGTAGCTGACCTGGACAGCGAAATCTGGCTATTCCACGTGGCGTGCGGCTAGAAATGGGCCACAACGCAGAGTCGAGCAGAATGCTCTTCGAGTATCAAATTCTCAGAAGCCTGTTGATCAGGGTATCAGCCGTGAGTTACACACACAGCGAACTATTTTTTCGCCTTTTACTAAAGAATACCGTGTATGTTCCTCGCTAAGCGGCATACATAAATTTTTGGAGTGCCCCTAACAGGGCGCAACAAACGAAAGTTGAAACGGGATGATCAATAGGTCTTTCACCCTTACTTACAACCTGAATTATGATGGTTGTGCAAATCGCGAAACTGTTAATGGCCACTTGTCTCTGTGGTCAATTCAATTTCTGTTTCACATGCTAAATAACTCGCACATTTGCATTCACATCGGTAATGATACAATACACATACTAGTACTAGAGTTGGAACCGTACCACTGACAAAATACTAGTTCTAATTCCAGCTCTGATCCAGCATTTGCTACTAGATGACCTTAGTTGCACAAGCCACCTGGCTGCTGCAACAAAATGTGCTATGTATATCCTCTTCGCTAAGCCGCTCTTGCCTGAACTAATAGCCACACCATAAAAGGTGGCAACTACATCATCTCTGTTGCTGGTGCCGCCCACTGTACACCTCATCAAAGCTAAGCTCCTGCTGGACTGATGGCCACAACATCGATAATATCCACCTCACCATCATCTGCAACGCCGCGTGCACTGCGCTTGCTGTTACCCCCACTGGCACCTTTGTTGTTGCTGCTGCCGCTGTTGGTGCTTTTAGCAGCGGAGCTTTGAGCTTTTCTTGGGGAGGCCCAGCCCTTGGGTGTCCACACCACGTGGTGGCATCCTCGGCAGATCAGCAGCTCGCGACGCGGACCGATGAAACGAACTCCACATGAAGGGCAATCACCCTGATAAAATAAGGGAGGATGGTGAGAAATAAGGAAGCGTGGAAAAATGAACGCGTGAGCAAAGAACAAGAGGGCGCGGACGCGTAAAAAGGCTGCGACATTCAGATCAGGGAGCAACCAGCATGGTTCAGAAGGGTGTGATACGAAAATGGCAGAGGTTTATTGAAAGCTATAGGAGAGACAGACGCTTTGACTCTTCAGGGATTCTATTATACAAGTGATGGAGAGAGGATGAAGCAGGAGCTTAGAGCCTGAAAAACAGTAAGGAGTGTACGAAGAGACAAGACAGTTTAATGAAGAGAAGAACAGTACCTCAACGAAGGCTGCTTTGGCGAGCGCTCTGGCGAGCAGAGGGAGCAGTGGGACGATGCAGAGCGACCAGAGGAAGATCTGCGCTAGCCAGCCCGAGATGAGCAGCCACGCGAACGCCACGAACTGAGGGACGGAGGGAAGCGGGCGAGAGTGGAAAGGTCAATGACGATCCATGGCGAGAGTGGAAAAAGAGTGTGGGAGTTTGGGAGGGAGTCAAGGGAGTGGAAGAGGAGAAAGAGAGGACGAATGAGGTTAAATGCAGCGAGAGCGGCGTGCAAAGAGCACAAGGCTAGAGCGGAGACGACGACCACAGGTGGACAAGGACTCGTAAAGAGCGATGGGACAGAAGGGGAGGGTAGCAACGAGGGCGCCAGCGAGGGGTGGGGAAGCATACCATAACGAGCTGGCCGGCCGGCGTGGTTCTGAACTCCGCCCACCGCTTCAGATACTGCGCGGGGCACGCGCGCGGGGGGACGGGGACAGAGCGGGGGGGAGCAGGAGAGGAGCGGGAGAGGGGAGTCGGGGAAAGAGGGGGCATATGGGGTTGGGTAAGGCGGGAGAAGAGGGGAAGATGTACGTCGGACGAAGGGGTGGATGGCGGGGAGGAGGGCCGGGGAAAACGATATCGCGGGACAAATATCTGAGGGCGAAGTAGGGTTACTTGGCTTAAACTCGCAAGATGCGGCCCAGATGCAGAGGGAAACGGTGAGAGACAGCGCAGGGTCAAGGTGGGGAGAGGAGAGGTAGGGGAGCGGGGGGGTGGGAGTGCGGCGAAGGGAAGCGGAGTGCTGACGGTGGGAATACCTTTGGTAGTTGATACTGTATCTCCTTGATCATGTCTCGCATTCTTTGTCGGATCCGCAAGTTACAGTCCACATCGTACGCCGCACCAACCACGGCGCGTTTCATCTCCTCCACTCTACTCGAAACCCCGAACTGCGCGTCGAACCGGAACGCGTGCCTCTCCGCCTCGAACGCGACCTCCTCGAGCCGCTCGTTTGCGGCGCCCACCGCCTCCCGCGCCTTTCCGCGCAGGTCATTATCACGCTCAAACTCCGCCACCTTGCTCTGCGCGCAGCGCAAAGCGCCCGCCGTGCCGTCCGCTATTTTCCGCAGCGCCACCTTCGACTGCTTCTTGGCGGAGCGAAAAGCGCGAGAAAGCTCCTCCTGCAGCTCTTCCGGATTGAGATTGAAAGGCGGCTCGTCAGGGCCGGACCCGGCTGCGGGAAAATCGGCGGCGGACGCGGCAGCGGCTGACGCGGCGACGCGGGGGACGGCGGAAGAGGACACGGTGCGGAGGCCGGGAGGAAGCGCGCCGGGGGGAAGCGCGCAAGGGGGAAGCCGGAGGCAGGTTGAGGGCTTGTTGGGCGCTGAGGTCGATTTCGAGAGGCGTGAGGTTGATCCTTTGAAGGGCGGCGACCAGGTGGTTTGACGAGACGAGGACGACGAAAGGCTGGGGTGCGACGATTTTAGGGATAGCTTGGACAACGTTATCGGAGACGAGAGGTCTAAACGTGCCGCCATTGCGCTCTTATGCAAGGTGGGTGAGCTTCGTGGAAACGATTATCAGGCGAGAAGATCAGCTTTGTTGCTGCAGACCAGCGGACTAAACAGCTCCTAACGATGCCCGCTTCAATGAGAACGCAGTGGCCAGCTCCACAGTTCGCCTCCCGTTGGAGCCTAGAATAGCGTTTGCGACAACAACTCTCCACGATCTCTGGAGCCTACTAATGTAGTTGCTCGAACACTTGAGCGAGGAGTAATTTTCCAACGCCTACCGAAAAGGAGGAACCGAAAGGAAGCGTGTAGAAACCCTCATAATTTCTACGAACCGAAACGAAGCTGCAACTGCAATCATCCTCAGATCAGCTTTCGCCCTTTGTCGTTAGGCCAGCCATTTTCTGACTGACCCTAGGTCGATATCGTTACCCTTGTTTCGCCATCCTTCGTCTAGCTAGGCTAAGTTTGCACTTCAGCGATTCCAAGCGAATCGCGGTGCGAAAGCTGCTATCCAAGCCTCGCTGGCATGATCCACCAGAATGGCAGTCACGTGTAACTGCGAAGCGTCACTGGCTCGAACCCGCGACTCTCGTTCCATCCACGTCAGTATTCCCATTGGCTGTGAATCCTCCCAACGCTTACTCTGTTCCTACCGTGGCACATGTGGCCGCGTGGACGGATCGATCACTGCCAGACAGATCTTCACGAACGTGTGAACCGCGTCAGTACACGTCACTATTCGCAATGTTGACGGAGAAATTCGACTCTGACAAGCCTCGATATCCCTGTGCTGGCGTGGACGTGCCTGGTCGTTGTGTGCTGGTGAGTGATCCATTGAATTCACCAATCGCATATTCGATCAGGCTCCAAGTCATAATACAGAACACATAAAAAGTACAGCTTGACAGAGCACACAGTAACAAAAAAGAAGGAACAAATTCCATTATTCTGATTAAACATGTGGATTGTAAGGAAAAACCTTTTTCCTTACTTCGCATCCCTGCTCAACGCGTACATCACTGTAGCACCTCAGTCAGCACCGTTACCACTCGCGATCCTCGTATCGACAATCATCCCGCCATCTTCGCACATCGCACCCCGACCTCACGGCTCGGCTGGTAACCCGCGCTCCGGGCCTCCGCTTCGACACTTTCCCAACCTCAGTCCCACGCTCGTCGCACGACAACCACAGTCCATTACCGTTACCACTGTAGTTTCGCTATATATTCTTCGCTCATGCCTTCGCTCATTGTATTCTTGCTTCGATAGTGCAATTCTCGTTCGTTCACTCAATTGCACTCGTAACACTAGGTATTCAGAGCCTACGATCTCATCTCGGACCGCATCCACACTTTCGCTTCCCCACTATCTCAATTTTTTGGGGGGGGGTAGACGTCTCTCAGCGATACAGCACCGCCGCTCGTAGTGCTCTCTCGTAAGCACGCACGGCCATAACCGAGGCTCTCGCTGAGCTTGCCCGACACCCCCGCCATGGCCGATTTCACGCTCGCCACATTAACGCAGGAGCAGCTTCATCATCTCGTGCGTCAACTCGAAGATTCGGCGCTCGAAATCGCGACGCTCACGGCGGAACGTGACTCCGTCCGTCAACGATCCACGGTGAACATTCCGGCGACACCACACGCACCGACAAATGCATCTGCACAATCGAACGAGCCGATCATCATCTCGTCCGGCACACCAACACAACACGAGAGCATGGGACAACGCTCAGGCGCAGCCAGTGATGGCGCCGCCCAGCCGATGCCTGGCATGGGGGGAGGCAGGATCGCACCAAGCCCGCGGGAGCCCCGGGAAGCCCGTCAGCACGTGGAATTTGCGGCAACAAGTGGCGAACAGGCCATTATGGCACCAATGCCGCTCAAACCGCAACGCCCGCCCTGCTTCGACCCAAGCCAACGCGGAGGTCCGACGGTTCAATCGTGGGTCTTCACGATGAACGTCTTCTTCGACACAAACTACGTCGAGTCGGACGCCGCGAAGATCCGGTATGCAGTTTCGCTGCTAAGGGGCCCCGCCATGGACTGGTGGCGAGTCATCGTGACATCGCCACGCGCCTACGAGCCACCGTCGCACGAGGAAGGGCCCACGGGTCCAGCTGTCACCTGGAGTTCGTTCTGCGAGACCGCCCAATACAGCACGTGGGATGCGTGGTACGCAGGACTACGGGCGCGCTTCGAGCCGATCGCGGCTTCGATTTCGGCGCGTCAGAGATTGCGCACTTGGCGCCAGCTCGGGTCGGTTCAAGATTATACAAGCGGTTTTCTCGCACTTTGCGAACAGGTCGGCTACATGCACGAAGCGGAGCGGGTGGACCGTTACATCGGAGGGCTGAAGCCGGATATCTCGCACGAAATCATGCTGCGCGGACTCTCTAACTTCAACGAGATTCTCGCGCTCGCCGAGAAAATCGACATTCTACGCCGACCGAGACCGGGGTCCTACTACTGACATCGCCCTCGGGGACCGACCGAGCACGCCACTGTACACGCCGTCGCAACGAATGCAGCTGCCGCACCGTTCAAGGGGCGCTGCTTTGCTTGCAACAGGCCGGGCCATCGCAAGAGCGAATGCCCAGAGGAGCTGAGGCGCCGAGGAGCAGAGCAGGGGAGGGAGTCTCAGAGGCCGGGAAACGCCAGCAGTCAGTAGAAGTTGGGCCAACTACTGACGAGACTGCCTGCTCGCCCAACCGCACCGAACCTCACCGAGTCACAGTACCGATTCACGCCATCGATCGGGCTTGGATGAATAAGGAGGGTACAGCGACGGATTGCCCAGTACTGATCCACGGGAAGATACAGGGAGCAGTAGTGAAGATTTTTATTGACGGAGGAGCAAGTCACAGTTTAGTTAATACCGCGACCGCACGGAAACTGCAGTTAACACTTAACCGCTGCTTACCTGAGATAGACGCACGCTTAGTCGACGGCACGCCACTGGCCATACGGGAAAAGGTGGAGCGAGTAAAAATCCGTTGCGGAGGGAACTTCGGGTTTACACAGGAAATGCTCGCCATGACACTGGATAAGCACGACATCTTATTGGGACGTGATTGGCTGCGACGGTATAACCCGCGAATTGAGTGGACGTCGGGTAGCTGCACCGTGCGAAGTAGTGGTAACTGGGTCGAACTACCTCGCTGGCGGTCACCCGAGTCTTCAACGGTCCACGTCAACGCCATCACGATGAAACGGGTTGTTGCCGCGGGAGCTGACGTGTACGTAGTGGATATAGCACTAGTAGGAGAAGAGGAGCAGCCGAGCGATTTTCAGAAACTGTTGGCAGCGGTACCGCCCGTACTTCAGGATCTGTTGAAACGGTACCCGGGGATTTTTCCAGACGATTTACCGCAAGGATTGCCACCTCAGCAGGCGGATGACCATAGGATCGAGTTAGAACCGGGGGCACAGCCAACTGTACAGCGCCAGTTCAGACTGACACAGCCCGAGCTCGACGAACTAAGGAAGCAGTTAGATTATCCGCTAGAGAAGCAGTTTATCCGACCGAGCTCATCACCGTTCGCCGCGCCGATACTGTTGACACCGAAAAAAGACGGAGGATTTCGCATGTGCATTCATTACCGAGCGCTCAACAAAGTAACAGTCAAATCGCGATACCCCATCCCCCGCGCCGACGAACTGATCAACCAGTTGCAAACAGCATGGGTATTTTCGAAAATAGACTTACGGGGGGGTTACCATCAAATTCGGGTCGAACCATCGGACTGCGCCAAGACAGCATTTAGGACTAGGTACGGGTCATTCGAGTGCACGGTGATGCCTTTCGGGCTGACCAACGCGCCCGCAACATTTCAGATTGTGAAGAAGTGAACGAGAGAATGTGTGAACTATGAACGAAGTGAGTACAAATAGGAAACCCTAGCTGGGTTGTACCCCCTATGGGATACCCCACTATAGCCTACACAAATAAGTAAGCTATGATGTTCTGACACACCCCCATAGGCAAAGTGGGGGAGAACAAGGGGTCACAAGACCAGTCAAGCAAAGCAAAGCAAAGCTCAGGGTGGATCACAAAGTCACCACACATTCCGAGCACAAGTTCAAGGGCCACAAGGCCAGTTCACATGCAAGATCATATATATAGAGATATACAAGAGTCAAGCAAGCAAGAGCAAGACTATATATATGTGACGGTACAAAGAAAGTCAAGAAGTGAGCAAGTGAGGCAAGACAGACACAAGACCCAGCTGCGTGCAGCAACGCTGATGATCACAAGGCGCAAGTGCCTTGGTGAACACATCAGCAGTGTTGGCCTCAGAGGCCACGTACGCAAGTCGCAACTGTCCACGCTGCTGTAGCTCACGAGCAAGAAAGTAGCGGAGAGCAATGTGCTTTGTCCTGTGCTCCAGTCTCTGCTCTCGACACAAGGCCAGCATGGCCTTGTTGTCTACGTACAGGACTGGAGGAGAACGAGGCTGCTCTCCAAGGTCAGTCAGCAGGTAGGTGAGCCAGCGTAACTCCTGTGCAGCCATAGCCCCAGCGTAGATCTCAGCCTCACAACTGGAGCCGAGAACAGAAGACGAGCGGGTAGCCCGCCACGAAACAGAGCCGGAACCAAGGCTGAAGGTGTAACCCTGTGACGACCGCTGCGTAGCCTGGTCTTCAGCCCAAGAAGCGTCTGCGTGCCCAGTGAGGACCACTGGACTGCGCCCTCCAAGCACTAGCCCCATGCCTGACGTACTGCACAAGTAGCGCAACACCCTCTTCGCTGCAGCCATGTGCTCTGGTCGGTGTCTCCCAGGAGCAACATAGCGTGCGAGAATGCTAAGAGGGTATGCAAGGTCAGGTCGTGTGCAGGTCATCAGGTACATGAGGCAGCCAACAAGCTCTGCATACGGGCCACTCGACTCTACGGACTCATCCGAAGGTAGAGCTGAGAGCGAGTGGCGAGTAGGCAGAGGAGTGGCCTGAGGCGAGGAGTACGTGAAGCCGAAGCGCTGAAGGACCTGCTGCACCATGTGTGACTGAGTCAGGGTAATGGTG